TGAACCCTTGGAGGGCAAATCGGGAACAGAGATAGCTTCAATAATCACCAACAAACGTATTGATTTTGGACTTGTGGACAACATCATCACTGACCGGGGAGGTGAGTTTGCAAACGATGTACAGTACCAGTCAAAAGTTTGGACACACCTACTCATTCAAGGGTTTTTCTTTTTTTTAAACTATTTTCTACATTGTAGAATAATAGTGAAGACATCAAAACTATGAAATAACACATATGGAACCATGGAGTAACCAAAAAAGTGTTAAACAAATCAAAATAGATTTTATATTTGAGATTCTTCAAAAACCACGCTTTGCCTTGATGACTGCTTTGCACAACTCTTGGCATTCTCTCAACCAGCTTCACCTGGAATACTTTTCCAACAGTCTTGAAGGAGTTCCCACATATCCTGAGCACTTGTTGGCTGCTTTTCCTTCACTCTGCCGTCCGACTCATCCCAAACCATCTCAATTGGGTTGAGGTCGGAGGATTGTGGAGGCCAGGTCATCTGATGCAGCACTCCATCACTCTCCTTCTTGGTAAAATAGCCCGTACACAGCCTGGAGGTGTGTTGGGTCATTGTCCTGTTGAAAAACAAATGATAGTCCCACTAAGCCCAAACCAGATGGGATGGCATATCGCTGCAGAATGCTGTGGTAGCCATGCTGGTTAAGTGTGCCTTGAATTCTAAATAAATCACAGACAGTGTCACCAGCAAAGCACCCCCACACCATCACACCTCCTCCTCCATGCTTTACGGTGGGAACTACACATGCGGAGATCATCCGTTCACCCACACCGCGTCTCACAAAGACACAGCGGTTTGAACCAAAGATCTCCAATTTGGACTCCAGACCAAAGGACACATTTCCACCGGTCTAATGTCCATTGCTCGTGTTTCTTGGCCCATGCAGGTCTCTTCTTCTTATTGGTGTCCTTTAGTAGTGGTTTATTTGCAGCAATTTGACCATGAAGGCCTGATTCACGCAGTCTCCTCTATGTTGAGATGTGTCTGTGACTTGAACTCGGTGAAGCATTTATTTGGGCTGCAATTTCTGAGGCTGGTATCTCTAATGAACTCATCCTCTGCAGCAGAGGTAACTCTGGGTCTTCCATTCCTGTGGCGGTCCTCATGAGGGCCAGTTTCATCATAGCGCGTGATAGTTTTTGTGACTGCACTTGAAGAAACGTTCAAAGTTCTTGACATTTTCCGTATTGACTGACATTCATGTCTTAAAGTAATGATGGACTGTCGTTTCTCTTTGCTTATTTGAGCTGTTCTTGCCATAATATGGACTTGGTCTTTTACCAAATATGGCTATCTTCTGTATACCTCCCCTACCTTGTCACAACACAACTGATTGGCTGAAATGCATTAAGAACAAAATAAATTCCACAAATTAACTTTTAAGAAGGCACACCTGTTAATTGAAATGCATTCCAGGTGACTACCTCATGAAGCTGGTTGAGAGAATGCCAAGAGTGTGCAAAGCTGTCAAGGCAAAGGGTGGCTACTTTGAATAATCTAAAATACAAAATATATTTTGATTTGTTTAACACTTTTTTGGTTACTACATGATTCTATTTGTGTTATTTCATAGTCTTGATGTCTTCACTATTATTCTATAATGTAAAAATAAAGAAAAACCCTTGAATGAGTAGGTGTGTCCAAACTTATGACTTATGTAGTCTTGCTGTCACTGAGGTCAAATATTGGTCATGAAAAGTCTAACACTTTCTAATCATAACCATGCAAGTACTATGGTTGTCACCTTTTCTTTTTCAGCTCAACAGATCCAAATATTTAGACAGAAGGTTTGCCCAGCTAGAAGCAGAAACGGAGCTAGTTGCAGAAATGGAGTCCAAGAATGTGATTATACAAATGTATTAGAAGTGTAGTAATTAATGTAATCTCTAACGCAAACATCTCCCCTCGTACACCATGTATTAACAGTTTACTTTTCTCTCAATAGGTGTAAATACTTCCCATACAGTTGAAGTCAGAAGTTTACATACACCTCATATCTACTCATTTGATTTGCTTTTTAAAGTGTCAAATGCTGAGACGTAACTTGTTTATGCAGGTTTTACATCTAATGCTTTTGGTCTGATATCTGCCAGGAGGGAGGATGATAGTTTTATTTTGGATAGCCTGTAATGTCTCTTCCCCTTATACCCTGAAATATAATCTGTTACCTGTCATTTTCTGTTATCAACCTACGAATTAAGCATATGGCCATACATGACATCAAGGACTTGTTTTCTCCTTGGCAATATTCTGGCAACAAACTTGGAAGACACACTCGAGTCTTCAGTTCCACATTACGACAGTGGAGCTCACTCAAGTGACAAATGACAGCAAAAACAGATGCTTTTGGAGAAATTGCAGTACCATTGGTTAGTTATATAAATCTTTGGTAGTGTTGATAGTTGATTTGGCTTTACCACGAATTATAATTGCATTTCTCTCTGCCCCATGGCAAAACTAAATACAATTGTATGAAATTAGTTATAAAATAGATAAATCTTCTCTCCACCTCATGGGAAAATGTGTAGAATAGCAGCAAACGTGCTTTAAAACTGCAAAATGTTCTCTACGCTCCATGGCAAAATGTGTAGAATTGCAGGAAATTAACTCTAAAGCGTAGGGCTAAAGACTAGTGTGCCAAAACCTACATACTGAACATATGTCTTTGTTGAGGATGATGAGGGTCAGAATTGGAAGGAAAGAAGGATAATAATACTACCAGATTAAATGGTTTAGGTTAGGAACAGAGAACAGTTTATGACGTTAAGGCAAAAGGAGGAAAGAAATTAAAAGGGGGCATGAACATCAGAAAAATAGCAGAGATGGAATAAAAGTTGGCGGGAATGATATTGGAACACGGCCGACGTAGCTGTGTAGGTGACACCATGACAAAACAAACACAAAGCCAGGAAGAATGATAATTAGTACTAACACTAACACTTTTAGATGCAAAATCTCAAAGCGCAAAACTCACTGTACACTGGCATGCAGGAGCTCTGTGCAGTACACTGCCATCATGCGTCTGACTCCCACCTACCCAGTGTCAGAATTCCTTTGCCTATCTCCAGAGATTATTTCTAGATGTTGAGGCTAGAGCTGGAATGAGTTACCCCCCCCCCTCGCATTTAATGTGTTTGAGCTGTGAGTGTGTGTGAAAGAAAATGCAACTTCAGATTCTACATAGTGCCAAGTTGAGGCTAAAATGAATGTGTTTGAAAAGGTACTTATTTGGGTATTTCTTTCATGACAATGTCTGCACACTTTGTATTTTGTGTTATTGTCGATAGTTAAGTTGTACAGTTCTGGTGAAATACAAGAGCGCAGCAGTTCGACTTCTAATGTCAGCATATTGCATATTATATATAAATGCTTTATGATTAGGCAATAGGCTGTCTCATAAAGTTGGATAAATTATGACTCAAATTAGACATGCAAATCATTTTATGAAAAATACAGTCAAAATGCTTACCTCTCTCTCCACTCACTTTCCACTCACTCTTCTTCCTTATCTTTCCTCGTTACTCTCTTGGCTTTCTTTCGCTTTGTTGATTTTCGCTCACAGGTTACTCTCTCTTCCTCTTTCCTCTGTCCCTCCGTCCTCTGTCTGTTTGTCAGTGCACTGTGGTTCAGTGTTTGAGTGAGTCAAGGTCCAAGCAAGTCTATGAAATGAGACACCCTCCCTCCCTATTTACCAGCTCCCACCACCTACAACTCCAAATACAGGCACCCCCTCCCTCCCCACCAAAAATACTCCATATGTGGCCAGCCCTCTGCTATCCCACCCCCTTCAGTCACTCGGCTGGGCAGACAGGAGAGGGGCTATTTGCTCTCTGTATGCCAATATGCTGTGCTCAAGTTTCTGTGTTTGAATGGTTGTCTCACAGTCTCTCTCTCTCTGTGTTGTGTGTGTATGTGTGTATGTGTGTGTGTGTGTGTGTGTGTGTGTCTGCCTGTCTGCCTGTCTGCCTGTCTGCCTGTCTGCCTGTCTGCGTGTCTGCGTGTCTGCCTGTCTGCCTGTCTGCCTGTCTGCGTGTCTGCGTGTCTGCCTGTCTGCCTGTCTGCCTGTCTGCCTGTCTGCCTGTCTGCGTGTCTGCGTGTCTGCGTGTCTGCGTGTCTGCGTGTCTGCGTGTCTGCCTGTCTGCCTGTCTGCCTGTCTGCCTGTCTGCCTGTCTGCCTGTCTGCGTGTCTGCCTGTCTGCCTGTCTGCCTGTCTGCCTGTCTGCCTGTCTGCGTGTCTGTGTGTGAGGAAGAGGCTCTGGTGCTAAACTTGGAGTTGTGTTATGTTGACACTCCGAACATTGTAGAGATTCTATCAACAAGAAAGGTCACATGCACTATGACACTGACAACAATATAATTTGATTGATTATGAACACATTAACATATACATTCCAGTATTGTAAGGGTAATAACCAATGATGGTAAAAATGTGTTTTTATAAAAACTGTAAGATGTAACATTTCTATAGGGCCATATCAGTACATTATCACCAATATCATTATGATGGCACAAATAATATTAAAGGCCCAGTGCAGTAAAAATGTGATTTTCCTGTGCTTATTATATATTTCCACACTATGAGGTTGGAAAAATACAGTTTCATTGTGAAAATTATGATAATGCCCTTTTAGTGTAAGAGCTATTTGAAAAGACTATGCTGTAAATTAGTTAATAGACCAATAAGAAAGAGTTAGACCAATAACAGCTAGTTATAATTTTTCCCCTCCCCACTCAGGACACTCCCAGACAGTCCTAGCAAATTCTTGCTTGAGAAATTCCTGTTTGCTAAGAAGATATTTTTGTCCATTTGAACTGAAAACAATCACAGTAAGGTACATAATTGTTAGCCAGAAATGATTTGATATTGAGATAAAAACGGCTGCATTGGACCTTTAATCCTCAAAAAGGTGTCTGGTTTATCCTTTGTCAGCTGTTTTATTACGTAGTTCCGCCAATCTCCATGTCAACTGCATGCTGACTAAAGCTGTGGATAGGACTGCGCTGACCCATTTCTTCTGTAATGAAGCAGCTTCCGGGCACAGAGCACCAGCAGTAAACATGGCGGAGGAGCTGTTGGAAGCGGTGGAGAGACTTCAGTCTCGGCTCTCCGAGAACCTAGAGCCTCGCAAGGTAATAATCGAAAGGGCCAGAATGGAACAGCAAGGTTGTAGCGGATGACTTGCGCCCTCTATAAATTTTCAAATATTGTCGCGTGGGAGGTAACAGTAGTTTCGCGAATGTAGCTAGCTAGTGCTTTTTCTAAGATCACGTCACGATATGTAGCTTAGCCTACTAACTGGGTTTCTTAACCAGAGTTCATGTTAAGTTTAACCTAGTCCTCGAGCTACCTGCCAATTCCGCAGACCTGTACTTTATGAAATGGAGCCTGTCACTGCTAATAAAGTGCCAATAATGTAGCCAGTTAGCTAGTGTTGAAACAACCACAACAAGCGAAAACGAAGCGAGGTCCTGGCTAGAAGGGATCCAGCTTTTGTCAAATTAACGTCAAGATTTCACTTTTCGTAGCAGGTTAGGAGAATGTACGCAGCAGGTTAGAATTAACGTAGCAGGTTAGGCGAATTAGGCTATGGCAAGGAAAATGGGTTAGCTTAAATGCAAAACATTTCAACTTTTGACGTTAATTTGACAAAAACTGCATCCCTTCTAGACATGACCCCACAGCGATTGTATAAACTCCACGATCGAGTGACCGCAACAGCAGCACGGGCCTAGTTGTTAGATTGTTGCACATTATTCAATGGATCAGTACAAGTTTAAGGGCAACAACAATACATTCGGTCATAGTGCCTTATTGTGATATCGGCCGTATCTTAATTGTGTCTCATTGAACATATAAATCCCTGCACACACTGCCATGTTGTGGTGGATGTTTGTCAGCTGATCAACTTTAGTAAACACAACCCCCTCTCCGGATATGTGTAGCTAGCCTACCCCCACAACCCCCTCACATAGTCCACGACAATGGACAAATCTTGATGACACCATGACGGTGTGCAATTTGGGCAAATTTGTGTAGTCAAATTCTGAATCAAGCACAGTCTGAAAGTACTACACAGTTTGACATAGCCTACAAAGTCAAATTACCAGTTGGCCTACACCTTTATACATATAGCGCACACTTTCACACAGTAGACTCATGTTTTCAATGCTTTGATTTTGTAAATATTGTTATCTCTTTATATTTCATTAATTCAATGATCAGCAGCCTTGAATTAACCTGAACGTTACCTTTAACAAGCTTTGTGTGCACTTTGCTAGTGTGCAGACTGTTCTGTTCTTCTCAGAATCAGGCTAGCTAGGTTGATCAGTACAGAGGATGTAGTGAGCGCTCTGTAATTCTTGTGTATTTGCACTATCTAGCTCCTGAAGACCCTCAAAAGGCTGGGGGAGCTGCCTATGACTGTGGATATCCTTGTGGTAAGATTTTGAAACAATGTACAGTGAGGGGAAAAAGTATTTGATCCCCTGCTGATTTTGTACGTTTGCCCACTGACAAAGACATGATCAGTCTATAATTTTAATGGTAGGTTAATTTGAACAGTGAGAGACAGAATAACAACAACAAAATCCAGAAAAACGCAGGTCAAAAATGTTATAAATTGATTTGCATTTTAATGAGGGAAATAAGTATTTGACCCCTCTGCAAAACATGACTTAGTCCTTGGTGGCAAAACCCTTGTTGGCAATCAGAGGTCAGATGTTTCTTGTAGTTGGCCACCAGGTTTGCACACATCTCAGGAGGGATTTTGTCCCACTCCTCTTTGCAGATCTTCTCCAAGTCATTAAGGTTTCGAGGCTGACGTTTGGCAACTCGAACCTTCAGCTCCCTCCACAGATTTTCTATGGGATTAAGGTCTGGAGACTGGCTAGGCCACTCCAGGACCTTAATGTGCTTCTTCTTGAGCCACTCCTTTGTTGCCTTGGTCGTGTGTTTTGGGTTATTGCCATGCTGGAATACCCATCCACGACCCATTTTCAATGCCCTGGCTGAGGGAAGGAGGTTCTCACCCAAGATTTGACGGTACATGGCCCCGTCCATTGTCCCTTTGATGCTGTGAAGTTGTCCTGTCCCCTTAGCAGAAAAACACCCCCAAAGCATAATGTTTCCACCTCCATGTTTGACGGTGGGGATGGTGTTCTTGGGGTCATAGGGAGCATTCCTCCTCCTCCAAACACGGGGAGTTGAGTTGATGCCAAAGAGCTCGATTTGGTCTCATCTGACCACAACACTTTCACCCAGTTCTGCTCTGAATCATTCAGATGTTCATTGGCAAACTTCAGACGGGCCTGTATATGTGCTTTCTTGAGCTGGGGGATCTTGCGGGCGCTGCAGGATTTCAGTCCTTCATGGCGGAGTGTGTTACCCATTGTTTTCTTGGTGACTATGGTCCCAGCTGCCTTGAGATCATTGACAAGATCCTCCCGTGTAGTTCTGGGCTGATTCCTCACCGTTCTCATGATCATTGCACCTCCAAGAGGTGAGATCTTGCATGGAGCCCCAGGCCGAGGGAGATTGACAGTTCTTTTGTGTTTCTTCCATTTGCGAATAATCGCACCAACTGTTGTCACCTTCTCACCAAGCTACTTGGCGATGGTCTTGTAGCCCATTCCAGCCTTGTATAGGTCTACAATCTTGTCCCTGACATTCTTGGAGAGCTCTTTGGTCTTGGCCATGGTGGAGAGTTTGGAATCTGATTGATTGATTGCTTCTGTGGACAGGTGTCTTTTATACAGGTAACAAGCTGAGATTAGGAGCACTCCCTTTAAGAGTATGCTCCTAATCTCAGCTCGTTACCTGTTTAAAAGACACCTGGGAGCCAGAAATCTTTCTGATTGAGAGGGGTCAAATACTTATTTCCCTCATTAAAATGCAAATAAATTTATAACATTTTTGACCTGTGTTTTTCTGGATTTTGTTGTTGTTTTTCTGTCTCTCACTGTTCAAATAAACCTACCATTAAAATTAGACTGATCATTTCTTTGTCAGTGGGCAAACGTACAAAATCAGCAGGGGATCAAATACTTTTTCCCCTCACTGTATGCTCATGTCATGATTCTTCTTTCATAAATGCAAATGTGATAGTATCTCTGTAGTCTTCAAGACTGCACACATTGGTTGCATTGCACTATAGTTCCTCACAGTGTTCTTTTAGAAGAGGAATCCAAATACAGGCTCTGGTTTTGCAACATTCTCCTAGCCAGCTGCTTTATAGGAGTTGATGTGCTGTTCAATATTGTCAAGCAACCTTCAGAACATGCTCACTTCCTTTTATGATGGGCAATAATGCTAATGTGGCCTGTTTTTATGTGCATTACTAAGTGTACTGGCATGCTCACTTAACCATTAGAGCGCCTGAATCTATACAAACCATGTTGCTCTCCAAACATGACCCACACGACACCAGTGTCAAAACATAATGTACTGATAATGAGGACACCCGCCTACTATCTATGTCATGCTTATATTTTGTTCTCGCCGGTGCAGGAAACTGGAGTAGAAAAAACTGTGAATTCGTTCCGGAAACATGATCTTGCTGGAGATCTTGCGAAGAGCCTTGTGGCCAAGTGGAAGAAACTGGTTCCCACCCCGTCTGCTGAAAGGTACGCTATTACTGAGGGATTGGGGGACTTCTTCTGATTTGTCTTCTTCGTCTTTTTCTCAGCGTATTGTCATCTAAATTCTACTGAAGTGTAGCTTTGTTTTTCTTCTTCCTCACAGACCCGGTAACGCCAAGGACTTACGGACACATGCGCACCCTCGCAGATCCGAGGGAACGGACGTAAGCCACAAACGTGTCCGGGAACTATCCCCGGAGGAGCCTCATGTAGAGGAGGAGGAGGAGGAAAGAGGCTACCACACCAACTACTCCCCCTCCCCCCCTCAGCACCACTACAGCCCCCCACAGCTCGGCCACAGCGGCCAGCGAGGGGGATACCAGTCTGAGGGCTACGAGAGCCCCATGGAGGAAGAGCCAGAGCCCGCGCCCAGCCTCCCTCGCAAAGAGGTCCGACACGCCAAACCACACAAAGAGCCTGGCAGGGAGGATCGCGGTTCCCACGGCGACTGGGACGAGGATAGGCGGCGACGTCATGCCCAGGCGGGCGGTGGTGGTGGTAGCGGCGGCAGTGGCGAAGGGAAGAAGTGCAGCGCGGAGAGGGAACCGCATCACATTGGCAAGGCCTCCAAGCACAGTCGGCACTCCACCCCGCACGAGAGCAAGAAGGACAAGAGAGGGGGAAGTGATGGTGAGTGTGCTGCCGAGTGAGTTTGCTGAGAGAATTTCACTGTGACTTCTGTGTCATTGTGACATTTACAGAGAGGCTGGTTCTCAAATGACACCCTATTCCATAGATGCCTCTTTCAAGCTTTGAGTCACTGTTGGGCTGTTGGCTTGTTAATAGATGGTTTTCCAGTCATGTATTATATTTATTTAACCATGTCGGTTAAAACCAATCTGAGCTGGTCATGGGTGCACCTCAGCCACGCTCAAGGTCCTAAACGATATTATAACCGCGATCGATAATAGACAGTACTGTGCAGCCATCTTCATCGACCTGGCCAAGGCTTTTGACTCTGTCAACCACCGCATTCTTATTGGCAGACTAAATAGCCTTGGTTTCTCAAATGACTGCCTCGCCTGGTTCACCAACTACTTTTCAGATAGAGTTCAATGTGTCAAATCGGAGGGCCTGTTGTCTGGACCTAATTCTTGGGCCGACTCTTTTCTCCGTGTATATCAATGATTTCGCTCTTGCTGCTGGTGACTCTCAGATCCACCTCTACGCAGACAACACCATTTTGTATACATCTGGCCCTTCATTGGACACTGTGTTAACAAACCTCCAAACAAGCTTCAATGCCATACAACACTCCTTCCGTAGCCTCCAACTGCTCTTAAACACTAGTAAAACTAAATGCATGTTTTTCAATCGAACGCTGCTGGCACCCGCCCACCCGACTAGAATCACTACTCTCGACGGGTCTGACCTAGGGTATGTGGACAACTACAAATACCTAGGTGTCTGGTTAGACTGTAAACTCTCCTTCCAGACTCACATTAAGAATCTCCAATCCAAAGTTAAATCTAGAATCGGCTTCCTATTTCACAAAAAAGCCTCCATCACTCATGCTGCCAAACATGCCCTCGTAAAACTGACTATCCTACCGATCCTTGACTTCGGCGATGTCATTTACAAAATAGCCTCCAACACTCTACTCAGCATATTGGATGTAGTCTATCACAGTGCCATCCGTTTTGTCACCAAAGCCCCATATACTACCCACCACTGTGACCTGTACGCTCTTGTTGGCTGGTCCTCACTACATATTCGTCGCCAAACCTACTGGCTCCAGGCCATCTATAAATCACTGCTAGGCAAATCCCCGTCTTATCTTAGCTCATTGGTCAACATAGCAACACCCACCCGTAGTATGCGCTCCAGCAGGTATATCTCACTGGTCATCCCCAAAGCCAACACCTCCTTTGGCCGCCATTCCTTCCAGTTTTCTGCTGCCAATGACTGGAACGAACTGCAAAAATCTCTGAAGCTGGAGACTCTTATCTCCCTTACTAACTTTTAGCATCAGTTATCAGAGCACCTTACCGATCACTGCACCTGTACACAGCCCATCTGAAATTAGCCCACCCAACTACCTCATCCCCATATTGTTATTTATTTTGCTCATTTGCACCCCAGTATATCTATTTGCACATCATCTCTTGCACATCTATCATTCCAGTGTTAATACTAATTGTAATTATTTTGCATTATGGCCTATTTATTGCCTTACCTCCATAACTTGCTACATTTGCACACACTGTATATATATTTTCTGTGGTATTTTTGACTTTGTTTTGTTTTACCCCATATGTAACCCTGTTGTTTTTATCGCACTGCTTTGCTTTATCTTGGCCAGGTCGCAGTTGTAAATGAGAACTTGTTCTCAACTGGCTTACCTGGTTAAATAAAGGTTAAATAAAAATGAGAACCATTTTCCCATTAACCTGATCCTGAAAGATGTGGGTTGTCTCTCACCCACTTCTCTCTTTAAAAAACGACATCCCATTAACATTATTCCCTCCTTGTTCTCCTTACTCTCTAGGGAGGTCACGTGAGCCGAGGGACTCCCCTGTATTAGTCCAGGCGCCTGAGGAGCAGGCGGAAGAGGCATTTGATACCCCCACCATGTCGTTTGAATCCTTCCTCACATATGACGCCCCTACGCCCACTAAGAAGAAGAAGAAGCCCGGCAGCAGCAGCAGTCGGCCCTCCTCCCACCACCACACACCTCCTCGTCCGCCTGTCCAGCCCTCGCCTGCTGCTCCTTCCTCCTCCAAGGAGTCCAAACCCAGCAAGGCCAACGGGAGCCGCAGCAAGAGGGCGGGTCCAGCCCCGACCTCGACAGCAACGACTCCGGTGCCTGAGAAACGCAGCAAGGTAAGAAGACCTTCACTGAACTTTTCCTCTCACAAGATGCGTATGTTCAATTGGAGAATGTTAAATTTGCTGTCATATTTTTGGGGGCTGTACAGTAAGTCCTTACGATATGCTTTTATTAACCAGTTACCCTGACCCTGATGTTCTCATATTATGAGAGTCCTTGTTCTCAGGTTCTTGACTGAACTTTCTCTTTAATGTACTCTTTCTTTTACCCCAGGTGGTCGAGGTTGTGTCCACACTTCCTGAAATCCCTCTGCCGGCCATCCAACCTTACTACAGACCTCTGCCTTCCATTGATCTCACACCATTGTCCCCTCAGCGGCGCAAAGGTACTTATTATTATTCCTTCACACTGTGAATGTCTGTGTGTGGGTATGTTCCAATATCCATACTTGTGTACAACTGAGAATGCATTGCCAATACATTGATTCATTCTATGTAGTATGCTAGCGTGGATATCGGAAGTACAGTTTGTATGTGTTGGACTTGTCTGGACTTGTAATTTGGGTACATTTGTATTAAGATATGCGTTACTCTCTAGGCCTAATACAGTTAGTTCTGATTGTCGGTAATTTCTCATGTTTAACTTTTGCCCTCTTTCCTGCAGGTCCTGTGTCAAATGACGCCGAGGAGGACACCGTCTTCACTGGGAGACGCTTTAACTCTAAAATGACAGTCTACTCAGGTTCAAAGACGTCCTACCTGCCCAAGATGATGAGTCTGTACGAGCAGTGCATCAGGGTGCTTCAAAACAACATTGACTGTGAGTGTTGTCTCCTAGTGACACTGTGAATGCCATGTAATGGCGCCGTTATCATAATGCTTAGGTTTTATTTCAATTTCTGTTATCACATATGTAGTTAATTTAGTCAAGTGTAAATTATATGTTAATGTAGTACACCTAACATCTCCCAAAAGAGAGAAGGCAAAGACATGGATCACTTAACCCATTTATAATGGGCAATTGTTCAAACACCACCAACTTAATTGTCGTGTGGATTCTTATGGCTGCTGGCCCACTTAGATCCACTTGCACACAGTCTTAAAATAATTTAACCAAAAATAAGAACAACACGTGACTTCCTCTTTAACATTACACCCGCATGGAACACTCCTCGAAGACTTATATTTGTCTAGGTCCAGGAAATGTATTCTAACCACAGCTCTGTCCATGCTTTGTCCACACTGTCATTCTTTATCTGAGAGATACTTAACACCCTGCTGATTGTGTGAGTCACTGTATAATGAGATGCTTACTGTATGTTTGTCCAGCAATTGATGAGGTGGGAGGCGTGCCATTTAAGATTCTGGAACCAGTACTAGAGCGATGCACCCCTGAACAACTTTACAGAATTGAGCAGTGCAATCAGGTAACACACACACACACACACACACACACACAATCAAAGTAGCGTCTCACACATGAATGCACAAACCCTCACCCAGTACGAGATGGTCAGTGAGCATGTAGTACACAAGTTCTCATGCTCTGCCAAGTCATACTGTATACCAGGAAGACCCTAGGTGAAGTGTACAAACAAAAACTTGACTCCTAACTGTTATGCTTTGAACAATGAATTGTGTTTACTCTCGCTACTAAATTGTAGGATATATTTCATGTAGTTGATCATTTTAACCCTAATTCTTTCCTCTCAGTGTTTTATGGAGGACTCTGATGAGCTTTGGCAGCGCCACTGCCAGCGGGACTTCAAGCGTGAGACGCCCCAGGAGTACGAGTCGTGGCGGGAGATGTACCTGCGGAAGTACGACGAGCGGGAGGAGCGCCTGCGCAAGCTCACCCAGAACATCAGCTCGGCCCATGCCAACAAGCCCAAAGGTGCTTTCTCTATGTCCTATCTATGACCGGAATCCTACTAAACAGTAATTATTACTAGGAGTTATTGTTATCATCAATGAAAGTGTACAGAAGGTGTTTATTTTGAGTGGGCATGTGTTTATATGTTTGTGTATTTTCCTGGCAGGTCGAGAGGTTAAAATGGCATTTGTCAACTCCGTCGCCAAACCTCCGCGTGATGTCCGCCGGCGACAGGAGAAGTTTGGCACCACAAGCACCTCCACTGCCAGCTCCACCGTAGCTGCAGCTCCGATCAAGTATGTGGACACTAATGTGCATACCACAATCACTATCACACACTGCATAGTAGGGAACACTCTTCATGTTGGCACTTCCATGTTTATTTTTTCCTACTTACATATCCATATACGAAGACATGACTGGCTGAATGGTAACTTTATATGCTAACAAGTAATTCAGACTCTCAAACTTATTCTCAAAGGTCCACTACATCATATTTTAATCTACAAGTTGTGATTCCGTTATGATTCTATGTGAATTGTTGCAATGTCATCATGGGGAATTATAAAGGTTAACCAAGTTCACACAGAGGGGTTACGATTCCTAACGTGCATTTAATTAAAATGCCGTAACCCCCTGAAGGACACACAGCTTCAGGGATGCCAGAGTAGCCAGAGGACTGTATGTTAAACAGGAAGGGCAAGAGACCGAAGCCACAGATTTTCCAGTGTGTTCAATCCGACAGCAGGGTGAGGATGGAGGCTAGAAGAGAAGAGCGCATACAAACATTCCGGAATTTCCCCACCACCATCAAACACTTTGTTATATTGGCACTTACATTTTCATATACACAGAAATGCTTGGCTGATTGCTAACTTAAGAAAATATGCACTACATCATATTTGTGTCCCAAATTTGACCCAAATATGTCTTGTTTGAGGAATGAACAGTCATAAGATATTATAAAGGTTCAACACACTGGAGGATGAAATGGAAGAGAGACAGACATTCTGACGTTTTCTGGCCATTCCGAACTTGCAGCGAGACATTGTGAAAGCTAGACAGGAAAATAAAGCGTGACAGTTGTTCAATCTGAAGATATAGCAGCTAGGCTACATGAGTAAAGAAGAGCACATAGAAATGTTCTTGAAATGTTGATCGCATCACTTACTTGTTTTCCGAGTATTCCGAGATGGAGCTTATAATGCCCCCCCCCCCCCCCCGGATTTGAAAACACACTATAATGAAAATCTACTGTTTTGTATTTTTCTGTACACTGATTGGATTGACCTTCCTGTTTTTTCTTTTCAGAATAAGGCCAGCCTTGTCGTATAGCTCTCACTCGGCTGAGCCCAGCTACTCCTCCTCTCATGACAGTCCCCCTGAGACCTCTTGCTCCTCAGGCCCCAGCGGTGGGGGTGGGCCCAGTGCCAGAGACAACAAACCACAGGTCAAAAGTGAGTATCGTGTGTAAGAAAATAGGTTAAGGTATTTATATTAGACTCAACATGCATGTAAAACAAAAGTACTTTCCTGATTTAAAACGTGTTGACTTTAATCTCTGAGAGGACATGTCTGCGTGGTTAACTTTTCTGCTGTTAAAATGTCACATCTGTTTGTCTTGCAGAAATCGCCCCCATGATGGCCAAAACTATCAAAGCTTTCAAGAACAGATTCTCCCGCCGATAGAGCTAGAGAGAGATAAATGTATGGAGTGATTGAGAGGAGAGGAAGAGATTGTAGGAGCTAAGATCTTTTTAATTCAATGAATTATGGGAGATCTACAAACGCCCACCAGACATGTGCACACAGGCACACACATATACAAACACACAGATTTTCTCCATTATTTTAGCGTTTCTTAAATACACACACAATTATGTCCTCCATTTTTAAATGTTCCCAGCTAGACCCTGGCAAACACACACATGCAGACAAAATAAAATGTCAAAGGCAAAACAAGTCATTTGTTACAACTTCATACACTCTGACACAGACAGAACTATGCTTTATTATGCTACGCATAAGTTAAGACATCAAATGACAATGCTGTTACAGGCAGCATGTTTTTAAATACAATTGAGTAGACACATAATATTCCAGTGCATCCACACCTTGTTTTCCTACTGTGTTCAGTGTTGAACCACATGTGCATCCCTACTTTTATCTGGTTCACTGTGATGAGTGAGGAATGAACTGAGTGCTGAAAGAGGAAAACACAAAAAGGGAGAAAGAGGAGAGAGCAAGTGGTAGGACCCTGCAGCTTCAATCTTATGTATTTATTTTCAACTCTGGGACCCCTGGCTCCCCCTGAACCTGGATCCAAATGGAAGTGGATCAAATAGTAATTTTAATAGATTTTAATAAATGTTATATGGACATTTTCAATAAAATTGACGTTTTGCCCTCAAATATGTTCATAGTCTATTTTCTTCAGTCTAATGTGTTGATGTTGAAATGAAAGAGAAAAACACTGCTCAAATCTAGCAATGGAACCTGGCCATAGTGCACTGAATACGTTGCTGTATGTAGTAGGGTACATTCTGTATGCCCTACACTATTGAGAACATAGAGAATACCTAATTGTTCAACTTTATATTGTAACATTGTATCACTCACTGTAATAATGACTACTGAAATAAATATGCAATGGATGTTGGGTGCAGAACAAATGTGAGTAACCTTCCACTAGACACGGATCTAAGATCAGTTATGGGTTTTACAGGTTCGTGTGCTTGGGTCGTGACAAACCCCGCCCATTTCTACAATTTCTAATCTTAAAATGTTATTTTTAAACCTAACCTTAACCACACTGCTAACCTTATTTTGTTGGTGTAAAATCTATTAACCAAATAGCTAGTGGAAACCGTGTGCTTGTTCATTGGTTTTGGCCAGGCCAATCAGAGAGCACGTTGATGTTCTGCATCTGTACGTCCATCTTGATTGGCTATTAACGTACATGTGATTTTGAAACGTTTCCTCTCCAGAATGTTGTGGAAAAGTGAAAACAGCCAGGTCAGTCTGAAACAAGTAACTTAGCTAGTCAGACAGCCTGTAGCTTGGACTTACTTTTCTCTAAAGTGCGATATTTAGCATTGCGATGTCTGGTCACGGCCATGGTCATGGTGGGCACAGCCATCGCTGCTGTGAAGACGAGCACGAGCCAGCGGAACGAGGCCTGGAGTATGCACTGTATCAGCGCATTGACATCGAGAAACTGCAATGTCTCAACGAAACAAGAGAAGGCGATGGGAAACTCGTGTTTAAACCATGGGATCAACGGACAGACAGGGAGAAGGTAATGTTATCGACTCCTTGAGTGTATAGTACGTCATCTGAATGTAAAAATTTTTGAGGGTGTAGAAGCCCTGAATTCTCGTCTGAAATTATTAAACTCAGTTGTGACAGCTGCCATTTTGGCTCTTCGGTATATCAAACATTGCAAAAATGTATCGCGTAATTGGAAAGACAAATTGGTATGGAGCGATACTGCACTTGTCAGTAAAGGCCAGACTGGATGATATGGTACACATTTCCTTGTAATAATAAAAACCCATGTTGACTTGTTTTGTAGACTAAACGAAATATGTACACAGGTGGTGGAACATTTAGTGTCAGTGAACCTATCCTTAGAGCTGATCTGGACGACCTCTTCCATTAGTGAAAGCCAATTTCTCATAACTGTTATGTGATCAACTTTTTCTCTACCATGAATTCTCTTGAAACGGTCTCTATCCTCTGTAGTTTGTTGAGAGTGATGCTGATGAAGAGCTCCTGTTCAACATCCCGTAAGAAAATCCCACCCTTTAACCCCCTTTTCACCCTTTCTTATCCTGTAATTTTAACTTCAGACTTGTTTCATCATATTGTGTTTATGCATTCTTTCACAAATCATATTTTTCTCAGGTTCACCGGAAGTGTCAAGCTGAAAGGGATAATCATAGCCGGTGAAGACGATGAATCGCATCCTGCTGAAATGAGACTGTGAGTGAGTACTGTTTCTGCCTTTCAGAAACACCTTGGGTCCTGACTGTGGGATTGCATTGCGCCAGTGTAGCATGTATCAACTCGCTCTGAGATTTGATATGATGCTTATTACTCACAACTCAACCAGGGGTGTATTCATTAGTGCAAAACGGGTCACAACGGAAAATGTCTTGCAACAAGTTTCTATTGGACAGATTCAGGTAGGTCCCTCTCCGTTTTGTTCCGTTTGCTTCGGTTTGCTTTCGTTTGGTTCATGGTGAATAGACCCCCAGCTCTGATCCAACTGTGCAAACTGAAAGAGCAAGTAGCTAACTTATTGCTCTGTGAGTGACATTTGACTCACACTTCACACAGTGAGACAAGACAGCTAGTGACAATTAGCTAGTTCCTGCTACATCAGCATGGAACTGGATCTATTTATTGTCAGCATGTGTGGTTTTGAGAACTAACTGTTTGTCACTGTGTGGTGTTGCATTGTCCGTGTAGGTACAAGAACATACCCCACATGTCCTTTGATGACACAGGCAGAGAACCTGAGCAAGCCTTCCGTCTCAATAGAGATCCACTGGCTCAGCTGGAATACCCAACTAAGTAAGAGCAACAGAACTCTCTCTCACACACACACACACACACTAAAAGTAGTATTGTTTTCCCAGAAAACAGTGGGGTTTGTGGTCACTGCTCACCCATAGACTATTTCAGAGACAAGAAAACAAAACACTTGAAAAAAAATACAATTTCGGTGAAATATGCCTAAGTACCCACCTAACCTAAAACCCACTAAACTAATCAACCCTAAATTACCATTCTTTCCAGGATTGCCCGTTTCTCCAACGTTAATCACTTGTCCATTCACATATCACGGAACTTTGGGACAGAGTCCACACGGGTCTACTACATTGGGCTGAGAGGGGAGTACTCCCAGGTGAGAACAAATGAGACCCACCTCAGTACATTTTCTGAGGCTGAATTTTTTTTCTTTGTTTCTTATCGCTCTATTGATTTGCAGAATTATGTTTCACTTATGTATCAGGCTTTACTTTGACTGTTCTGTCTTGTCCATTTGTTAAATGGCAAAACACCTCACCTCAGTCTCATCTGTTTTGCTTTCTTCCTCCCAGGCTCACAGACATGAAGTAACCATCTGCAACTACGAGGCGTCCGCTAACCCTGCAGACCATAAAGTCGACAGCATCATCCCACAAACAAATTTCATCTCCTGAGAAAAAGGAGGGGTGGGACAGATATGGGTCAAAAGGAAGTGGTGATGGATACTCAGTTGTTACACTTATTGTACCACAAAGAGTGGAGGCTGAAAGAAGTGAGTAAGTTTTCATTTGGTAAATGAATACATTTAATATCACTCACTGGTAACCCTGTGAAAAAGCATCAAAGTGCTTTTATCTCAAATATAGCTGGACACTGTGCCACCTAGTGGTTTGTTGTAATATTACAACTTGTCTCAGCAAAACTGGAATGACTCCAATATCACCTGCAGTGGGAGATCACTCACATTCTTTCTCATCCAAGCTCTGAATGCATAGCAATAATGTGACGATGTAGACATTTTGACACAACAAAAGTAGATCAGCATAATGTTTTCATTTGAATGGATTAGATTTGTGTTGCTTACTATACCACACTGCTTCCTTTGACACCCACGAAACACAAAAGCTGTTTAACTCATGATTTCATTGCATTATTAATGAGGCGATCGGTCTGTGGCAGCCAGTGGCTGAATGTGATTGCTTTGTTGGAGTTGGGAATTTGAGGAAAATGCTGTATGCCTAGTCTGAGAAATAGAAAATGCCCTATGCTGTTGTGTGTGTGATGTAATTATTTGAAGAATAAAGATATGTTACATAAGATAATAATTGTATTTTTATTTTATTGAAATGTAGATTTTGAATTGATAAAAAGCTACAGTATTATTTATTGAAAAGATGCTCTTTGCATTTGGTATAATACATTTGTTTAGTGTAAATTGCACTATCTGGAATGTATTGCCTATCAATGGATCAATTGATGGCAGGGTGTACAGTGCAAGCACGAGAAAGGGTGTGGACATCATGATGACATCACTTTAAAGAATCCCCGCCCTTCTACACCAGTAGCGGAAGTTCCGTTGAGATTCTGGGACAGCAAGTGGTGAGTGTATGAATTTGTATTAGCGGGCCGCGGGATTACAATACTCCTTTACCCCATCCGAACCGAACCCACATGGGCCTTTGCTTACAGATTTGGTTGAAGGGCATGGGGAAGTGATATATTCAAATACCTTGTCGAATTTAGCCCACATGTCAATCGAACCAAGCGCGAAAGAGAGCGGAGGGCAGTGTACTGAGACAAATTGCTGCTGTGTGGTTAGCTTGGTAGTCATTGAGCGTTTGAGGATGTAAAGTGAGTGTAGCCAGCTAAACAGGATTAAGCTGGCTGCTTGGATGTAGATGGCTAGCTTTTCCACGTTTTGAAACAATTTAGCTAGCGGCTTTGCACTTATTCTCTCCTGAATTCGCGCACCAGGTTGCACAACGGCTGTGTTAGCTAGTAGCGAGCTAAACTGCATCTCAGCCCCCATTGTTTCTTCATCCCCACCCCCTTCCTTAAGCTAGCTAATTAACAACATATCCGTACCATGGGTCGCTGGTTGTCAATGTATTGCCACATATGTCTACGTCAAATGATTGAACTAAACTAGCTAATATAAAAATATAACTGAATGACGTGTTGCAAGTAGCCACAGCAGCTACCTAGCATGCGTAATTTGGCTGGCTAATAAAATCAGGGGTGTAATCTTTAATCCAAACAGTATAGTTTTGCAACTATAACGAGATTTTCTATTGGAAAATTCCAGGTATGTCCCGATTTGTTACGTTTAAGAAACGTTTTGCAACAGAATCAGCGGAATTAATACACCCCAGTGTTGCTGCCGGTGCTAGCTGGCTATACTGACTGTCGCATATTACTCGATGATTGCCTGGTGGCTAGAATTTGCGCACCGGGTAGACCTTACAGGGCCTTTATCCCAGTAACAATTGCGCTTGACTACTGATAAAATCGAGCCATTAGCTGTTATAAATGCAAGTGAATAAAGGGCCAAAGTGGCACGTTATTTTTACGCCAACCACCTGAACCAGTCAAAGTTTGGTTTTCCAGTTGAATGCAAGTCAGATGGGAACTCGTGATGTTGTAGCAGTGCATGTACGGCATTGTTTGTATCACCCGTAGAAGGCTTGCTGAGAGGGAGAGAGGTGACCGTGAAATCGGTGCATTTCCTTCCATCCATGCTTAGCTATTTTTCAACTGCTGACAGGGGATCATGGAAAATCAATGCAGGACAAACAGCTATTTGAACTTTATTTTTGAACTGAGGATGTTTGCCTTGCAAATACAATTACAGGCTGGCTAACGTTAAGTGATGGCATAAAGTCAAATATTACACAGGCATGCTGGAACAAAGCCTCAATTTTGTGTCACTGATGCTAGTATCCAATTCATAAATGCATCAGCAAGGGTTAGAGCTATCTGGAATCCTTGGGACATCCCTACCCTAACCATAACCTTTACATAACCCAAGCCTAACCCTTACCTTATCCATTTTAAATGTCAACTTCAATGGGGTAGGGATGTCCCAAGGATCCCGGATAGCAAGTACAGAGTGCTGTAGGCCTACCTGCCTCGGGGAATCATACAGTGAGGGAAAAAAGTATTTGATCCCCTGCTGATTTTGTACATTTGCCCACTGACAAAGAAATGATCAGTCTATAATTTTAATGGTAGGTTTATTTGAACAGTGAGAGACAGAATAACAAAAAACTCCAGAAAAACGCATGACAAAAATGTTATAAATTCATTTGCATTTTAATGAAGGAAATAAGTATTTGACCCCCTCTCAGAAAGATTTCTGGCTCCCAGGTGTCTTTTATACAGGTAACGAGCTGAGATTAGGAGCACACTCTTAAAGAGAGTGCTCCTAATCTCAGTTTGTTACCTGTATAAAAGACACCTGTCCACAGAAGCAATCAATCAATCAGATTCCAAACTCTCCACCATGGCCAAGACCAAAGAGCTCTCCAAGGATGTCAGGGACAAGATTGTAGACCTACACAAGGCTGAAATGGGCTACAAGACCATCGCCAAGCAGCTTGGTGAGAAGGTGACAACAGTTGGTGCGATTATTCGCAAATGGAAGAAACACAAAATAACTGTCAATCTCCCTCAGCCTGGGGCTCCATGCAAGACTTGTGGAGTTGCAATGATCATGAGAACGGTGAGAAATCAGCCCAGAACTACACGGGAGGATCTTGTCAATGATCTCAAGGCAGCTGGGACCATAGTCACCAAGAAAACAATTGGTAACACACTACGCCATTAAGGACTGAAATCCTGCAGCGCCCGCAAGGTCCCCCTGCTCAAGAAAGCACATATACAGGGCCGTCTGAAGTTTGCCAATGAACATCTGAATGATTCAGAGCAGAACTGGGTGAAAGTGTTGTGGTCAGATGAGACCAAAATGGAGCTCTTTGGCATCAACTCAACTCGCCGTGTTTGGAGGTGGAGGAATGCTGCCTATGACCCCAAGAACACCATCCCCACCATCAAACATGGAGGTGGAAACATTATGCTTTGGGGGTGTTTTTCTGCTAAGGGGACAGGACAACTTCACCGCAAAGGGACGATGGACGGGGCCATGTACCGTCAAATATTGGGTGAGAACCTCCTTCCCTCAGCCAGGGCATTGGAAATGGGTCGTGGATGGGTATTCCAGCATGGCAATGACCCAAAACACAGTGGCTCAAGGTCCTGGAGTGGCCTAGCCAGTCTCCAGACCTTAATCCCATAGAAAATCTGTGGAGGGAGCTGAAGGTTCGAGTTGCCAAACGTCAGGCTCGAAACCTTAATGACTTAGAGAAGATCTGCAAAGAGGAGTGGGACAAAATCCCTCCTGAGATGTGTTCAAACCTGGTGGCCAACTACAAGAAACGTCTGACCTCTGTGATTGCCATCAAGGGTTTTGCCTCCAAGGACTAAGTCATGTTTTGCAGAGGGGTCAAATACGTATTTCCCTCATTAAAATGCAAATCAATTTATAACATTTTTGACATGCGTTTTTCTGGATTTTTTAGTTGTTATTCTGTCTCTCACTGTTCAAATAAACCTACCATTAAAAGTATAGACTGATCATGTCTTTGTCAGTGGGCAAACGTACAAAATCAGCAGGGGATCAAATACTTTTTTCCCTCACTGTATTGCTTGGTTTTTTGTAGTGGGCCTAAATTAACTGAACTAATATTAGCTATTCATCACCTCTTGAAGGTACAACCTTTTTTAAAGGTAGGCACTAAGCCTATTAAAGTGTACAATAGCTGACAGTGACAAGGAAATGAGGCAAAGGCACAATGAGCATGCGTGTCATTGCAGTGCAAAAAGTTATGATGCGTGACGCACAGTCCTGTTCTTTTTCCCTATTGAGCCTGTCATTCTCATTCCCCTGATTTGGCTCTTTCTCTGTCTCCCTTTGCTTTCACTAACTGCAGGTCATTAGGTGGGTAGAATTGTAACTAACTCGGTGTATAATCTCCCTGAAGGTTTATACATTAACCTCCTCACTTTCCCTTTTCATTTCTCCTCTCATTGTTTTTTTTTTGTCTCTTGCTAGCCTCAACCTTTTGTCATATGTCGCTCAACCTGACGCTATGAGGGTATTAAATGTTGACTTTGAAAACAATATGCTCTAGCAAGCCGATATCCATTTTCAGTGTATAGGCAGTGGCGCTAATACTAGCCTATTGGCATTTTGGTTAACATAATTGCAGTTCGGAGGAGTGCATTTAGTTAATGAGTTTCAGAACTTCCTGACTGAAGAGATTACTCTCAGTACTCAGCCTGTCTCATTGGTTCATAGCAGCCATAAACTGTGGCATGTTCAGTTCTTTTGTTATGTCTGTCCCTATGCTGAATAGCTGCATTGATAACCAGCCACATCATTGATATGCCCCCCCCCCCCCCCCCCCCCCCCCCCCTCTCTCTAGCACCCCTTACAGTGTATGTGTGGCAACAACATGTCTGTGCCGCTGCTCGCCGAGGCTGTGACGGTGTCTGGGACAGAGAAGGAGACCGCTGCGGTGAGAGACCACAGCAACACCATAGTGTAACTTACGGCCATCCATCAGCAAATTTGGCCACTTGTTGCAAAGCTTCAAAGCAAGCGCAAGAGTTGCCATGCTGAAGCTAATTTGTTGTTCAGAGGTGCCGTGAACTAGGGCAGGGACGATACCAGTACCATGGCAAAAATGAAAAACCGAAGCAGATAAGTCTTTAGTCCTTTAAAAACCTACTGTATATATTATATTGTCGTCTTTGAATTGGAAAATAAATAAATGTGACTCTGGATGACAACATGATGTTTGTTTGCAACATTAGGGCTTTTTCCTAAAGAAGTTAGATCCGTTTTGTTTACTTGCCACGATACTAACAAGTATTGCGATACTGTTATCGTCCCGGCCCTACTGTGAACCCACTGGGCAAAAACTGGTTGAATCAACGTGGAAGACTGATTGGATTTGCAAAAAGTCATCAACGTAAGAGAATTTAGTCTTTTTTTCCACCCAACTTTTCACCTAAATCCAATGACATGGTGACATTTTTTGGTGATTTCACATTGAATTTACATTAGTTGACAACTCAACCAAATGTAAATAAATAAAAAACGTTGAACTGATTTACCATGGTTGCTGCACAGCCCTATCAGAACTGTGCTATGTTAAAATATTGTCGCTTAAAGGCATAACAAACCGATTACACCGAAGTTAAGTGGGTCTGCAAGCACTTGTTAGGTCAGAACCAACTCAATTCATTTGTGAAGGCGAATAATAGATTTTTACATAGAGTGCAACAAATCTATCTTGTTCGCCAAATTCAGATGTTCTCTTATGATGCCTCTGATAAATGCAATTCTTTAGAGTTGGCAAGCAGTAATATAAACTGAGCGTCGTCTTGGCAACAGTAGGAATTTGCCCTTTGTTTTTGCTGTTGGGAATGATTCACTTGAACATGGTGTTTATATGCGAATACAGGGCAGTAGCCAGTAAATGGGCATGCTCATTGATGTTCATAATGCACCATTACCTACTGTAAAACTGTCAATCTCCCTATCTCTACCACAGGTGATCTTCCTTCATGGTTTGGGTGACTCAGGGTGAGTTTCCTGTCTCAGGCTTCCCAGCATTTCACACACACCCACACACTTTTTTCTTGAGGCATGTAGTCGAAGTCTACACCCCTTCGTCGGTGATTGGACGACAGTACAACTCCTAGTAGGACTGGGAATTATGGACGGGATTCTTCAATGAAGTGTTTGTCATTCAACGAGAAACTGTTAGTTTTCATGCAAATGTTTTCACTAGAGAAATACTGCACCAAACATCTTAGTTAGATGTAAAATTGCACAACTAAGACCTCGTCAAAAGCGCCAAATCAAGAAATCTGTAATTAATTATCTTAGATTAAATCAGACTATTTTGAGGAAGTGTATACCAACACTTCTATGGTCATTGGTGTATACTGGTTATGTTGCTACGGCGTCTCAAGGGGGACAAACAGTAAAATTTCATGTATTTCTCGTTTTTCAAGCGAAGGTCTTTTTATGGGAGTATGCGAGGCACAGACGTTTGCTTCGCCAAGCAGAATTCTGCTAGGAGCAAACCGAACCTAGTATGCGGGCACCTTTATAATCAGTATAAGTCTTATAGCCTAAACTGTAAAGAGTACCACTTTCTCTCTCTGAACTGCTCCTTTTCTTCCTCTTGTCAGGCATGGCTGGGCAGACACCATGACTGCTATCCGACTGCCACATGTAAAGTATATCTGCCCCCACGCGTGAGTCTATGTATTATCTGTCATATTTTCTGACATGTTTATTTCTCTTCTTGAGTGCCTCTTGTCTCAGTTTCTGGAGTGTTGCAATCAGAGTCGAATCTTCTGTTTGGTAGTGTCTCATCTCTTATCTTTCTGTACAACCATTTAGTCCTCCACCCATGTATACCATGTGTACATTGATTCACTTGTTTCTCCACAGGCCCAGAATCCCTGTCACTCTTAATATGAAGATGACCATGCCCTCATGGTGAGTCATGTTGGCACTGATCTAAAATATTTGACATTGGCCAATGGCTTGACTGTAAACTACACTTCAGTGGAAAATATTTCCTTTTGGTAAGCGATTTGGTGCACATGGAATTCCTTCAAAGACACGAACACTACCAGGATATCAGGGTTACATAAGATATACAGTGAGCTCCAAAGGTATTGGGACAGTGACACATTGTTTGTTGTTTTGGCTCTGTAATTTAGATTTGAAATGATACAATGTCTGCACTTTAATCTCATCGTCAGAGCTTTAATTTGAGGGTATTTCCATCCATATCGGGTGAAACGTTTAGAAATTACAGCACTTTATGTACATAGTCCCCCCATTTTAGGGGACCAAAAGTATTGGGACAAATTCACTTATGTGTATTAAAGTAGTTAAAGGTTTTGTATTTGGTCCCATATTCCTAGCACGCAATGATTACATCAAGATTGTAAGTCCACAAACTTGTTGGATGCATTTGCTATTTGTTTTGGTTGTTTCAGATTATTTTGTGCCCAATAGAAATTAATGGTAAATAATGTATTGTGATTTTGGAGTCACTTTTTATTGTAAATAATAATATAATATGTTTCTAAACACTTGTACATTAATGTGGATGCTACCATGATTACGGATAGTCCTGAATGAGTCGTGAATAATGATGATTATGATATTTATGCGTCAAACTATCACTCATTTCAAATCCAAAGTGCTGGAGTACAAAGCCAAAACAACAAATGTCACTGTCCCAATACTTTTGGAGCTCACTGTATGAGATGAGATGTATTAAATCGTCTGAACATGGATCTGTACGTTTCTGTAGGTTTGACCTGATGGGTCTCAGCCCAGATTCTCCAGAGGACGAGGCTGGCATCAAGAGGGCAGCGGAGAACAGTAAGTAATTAAGTGAAACACAAGTATTATACATGTTATATACACTGCATTCGGAAAGTATTCAAACCCCTTTACTGTTTCCACATTTTGTTACGTTACAGCCTTATTCTAAAATGGATGAAATTGTTTTCTTTCCTAATCATTCTACACACAATACCCCATAATGACAAGGCAAAAACAGGTATTTAGAAATATTTGCCAATGTATAAAAAGAAAGAAATTCACAAGTATCCCTTTACTCAGTACTTTGTTGAAGCACCTTTGGCAGCGATTACAGCCTCGAGTCTTCTTGGGTATAACGCTACACGCTTGGCACACCTGTATTTGGGGAGTTTCTCCCATTCTTCTCTGCAGATCCTCTCAAGCGCTGTCAGGTTGGATGGGGTGCGATGCTGCACAGCTATGTTCTGGTCTCTCCAGAGGTGTTAGATCGGGTTCAAATCCGGCCTCTGGCTAGGCCACTCAAGTCATTCAGAGACTTGTCCCGAAGCCACTCCTGCGTTATCTTGGCTGTGTGCTTAGGGTCGTTGGGCTGTTGGAAGGTGAACCTTCGCCCCAGTCTGAGGTCCTGAGCACTCTGGAGCAGGTTTTCATCAAGAATCTCTCTTTACTTTCCTCCGTTCAGCTTTCCCTTGATCCTGACTAGTCTACCTGTCCCTGCCGCTGAAAAACATCCCCACAGCATAATGCTGCCACCACCATGTTTCACCGTAGGGATGGTATTGGCCAGGCGATGAGCGGTGCCTGGTTTCCTCCAGAAGTGACGCTTGGCATTCAGGCCAAAGAGTTCAATCTTGGTTTCATCAGACCAGAGAATCTTGTTTCTCATGGTCTGAGAGTCCTTTAGGTGCCTTTTGGCAAACTCCAAGCGGGCTGTCATATGCCTTTTACTGAGGAGTGGCTTCCGTCTGGCCACTACCATAAAGGCCTGATTGGTGGAGTGCGGCAGAGATGGTTGTCCTTCTGGAAGGTTCTCCCATCTCCACAGAAGAACTATGGAGCTCTGGCAGAGTGACCATCGGGTTCTTGGTCACCTCCCTGACCAAGGCCCTTCTCCCCCGATTGCTCAGTTTTGCTGGGCGGCCAGCTCTAGGAAGACTTGGTGGTTCCAAACTTCTTCCATTTAAGAATGATGGAGGCCACTGTGTTCTTGGGGACCTTCAATGCTGCTGACATTTTTTGGTACCCTTTCCTAGATCTGTGTCTCGACACAATCCTGTCTCGGAGCTCTACGGACAATTCCTTCGACCTCATGGCTTGGTTTTTGCTCTGACATGCACTGTCAACTGTGGGACCTTATATAGACAGGTGTGTCCCTTTCCAAATCATGTCCAATCAATTGCATTTACCACAGGTGGACTCCAATCCAGTTGTAGAACCAGCTCAAGGATGATAAATGGAAACAGGATGCACCTGAGCTCAATTTCTAGTCTCATAGCAAAGGGTCTGAATACTTATGTAAATAATGTATTTCTGTTTTTACCTGTTTTCGATTTGTCATTATGGGGTATTGTGTGTAGATTGAAGAGAAAAAAACATGAATTTAATCAATTTTAGAATAAGGCTATAACGTAACAAAATGTGGGGAAAGGGTCTGAATACTTTCTGAATGCACTGTAGATGCACATAGATATCATACTAAGATCTATGAACATAACCATGTTAGCTAAAATGGTGTGCATCATAACTAGACATTATCAGCCCCCCAGGTATATATTCAGTCTCCGTTTTCACCCTACTTCTCCACAGTCAAGGCCATAATCGACCATGAGGCAAAGAATGGGATACCCGCCAATCGTGTGATGCTTGGAGGGTTCTCTCAGGTAAGGTTAATCAATGTGAATTGCTCTGAAGGTGTTGTGCAAATGAAGCCTTATTTTTCCAGTTCCTGGTTGTAAGTGATTTTTCAACATTGCTGTTTAAACTGTGTGAACCATGAACAACATCTCCATAGGTCTAAACACATTCTACCTCTTTCCCTCTTTTTCACTGTCTCCCAGGGTGGGGCTCTGTCCTTGTATACCGCCCTCACCTGTCAGCAGCAATTGGCGGGTGTTGTTGCTCTCAGTTGCTGGCTACCGCTTCACAAGAGTTTCCCACAGGTACATTTACATAGCTTACTTCAGTCCCCTGAACATTCCACAGAGCTGTTTCTTTTATTACTGGGCTGGATGTGAATGTAACCTGCCTAAATGACTACCACCCCTTAGCACTCATGTAGCACTCACGTCGGTAGCCATGAAGTGCTTTAAAAGGCTGGTCATGGCTCACATCAACATCGTCCCGGAAACCCTAGAGCCACTCCAATTTGCATACCGCCCCAACAGATCCACAGATGGCGCAATCTCAATCACACACCACACTGCCCTTTCCCGCCTGGACAAAAGGAACATCTATGTGAGAATGCTGTTCATTGACTACAGCTCAGCGTTCAACACCATAGTGCCCACAAAGCTCATCACTAAGCTAAGGATCCTGGGACTAAACACCTCCCTCTGCAATTGGATCCTGGACTTGCTGACGGGTAACCCCCAGGTGGTAAGGGTAGGCAACAACACATCTGCCACGCTGATCCTCAACATCGGGGCCCCCCAGGGGTGCGTGCTTAGTCCCCTCCTATACTCCCTGTTCACCCACGACTGCTTGGCCAAGCACGACTCCAACACCATCATTAAGTTTGCTGACGACACAACAAGTGGTAGGCCTGATCACCGACAACGATGAGACAGCCTATAGGGAGGAGGTCAGAGACCTGGGCGTGTGGTGCCAGGATAACAACCTCTCCCTCAATGTGGGCAAGACAAAGGAGATGATCGGGACTACAGGAAAAGGAGGAGCGAACACGCCTCCATTCTCATCGACGGGGCTGTAGTGGAGCGGGTCGTGAGTTTCAAGTTCCTTGGTGTCCACATCACCAACAAACTATCATGGTCCAAACACACCAAGACCGTTGTGAAGAGGGCACGACAACACCTTTTCCCCCTCAGGAGACTGAAAAGATTTGGCATGGGTCCTCAGATCCTCCAAAAGTTCTACAGCTGCACCATCGAGCGCATCCTGACCGGTTGCGTCAACGCCTGGTATGGCAACTGCTCGGCATCCGACCGTAAGGTGCTACAGAGGGTAGTGCGTACGGCCCAGTACATAACTGGGGCCAAGCTTCCTGCCATCCAGGACCTATATAGTAGGCAGTGTCAGAGGAAGGCCCCAAAAATAGTCAGACTCCAGTCACCCAAGTCTTAGACTGTTCTCTCTGCTACCGCACGGCAAGCGGTACCGGAGTGCCAAGTCTAGGTCCAAAAGGCTCCTTAACAGCTTCTACCCCCAAGCTATAAGACTGTTGAACAAGTAATCAAATGGCCACCTGGAATATTTACATTGACCCCCCCCTTGTTTTTACACTGCTGCTACTCGCTGTTTATTATCTATGCATAGTCACTTTACCCCTACCTACATGTACAAATTACCTCGACTAACATGTACCCCGCACATTGACTCGGTACCGGTACCCTCTGTATATAGCCTCGTTATTATGTAATTGTATTACTTATTTTATTTTGTACTTTTATTTAGTAAATATTTTCTTAACTCTATTTCTTGAACTGCATTGTTGGTTAGGGGCTTGTAAGTAAGCATTTCACGATAAGGTCTACACCTGTTGTATTCGGCGCATGTGAAAAATAGAATTTGATTCCAAACTGGAAAATATACTAGATCTCTGCTGTCTAGATATGAATGAACTTTTTGCTTGTAGTAATTGAATGTAATGATCTGTTGTGCCCATTAGGCAGCGAGCGCCAGTGGGAATAGGGACATGCCCATACTGCAGTGTCATGGGGAGATGGACCCCATGATCCCAGTGCAGTTTGGGGCCATGACAGCCGAGAAGCTCAAGATCATCGTCAATCCTCAGAAAATCACCTTCCGGACCTACCCGGGACTCATGCACAGCTCCTGTCCTCAGGTAAAAGGGGATTTTGGTTGTAACATGCATGAGTATCAATGTTGTTCTATGTGTGTTAATGGTTTGCTATGAGTATCAGTGTGGAAGTATTCATGATGTTCGGTTTCTTATAAGCCTCTTTATTTTGATTTTACAGGAGATGGCGGCAGTGAAGGAATTCATTGAGAAGCAGTTGCCCCGAATCTGACCTCACATCAACCTCACTGTGACCCTTAGACACTGATCTCTCACCTCTGACCTGCCATTCTCTCACAGGAAACAGCCATGAGCACCGCCCCCTCCACACACACAAACAGACTCAGTAACACTTACTTTCACATAACATCAAAATACATGCCTCATTCCATAACAATCCAACGCACATCAGACTGGACACACCATTTTTTTAACACATTGAAGTGCGCAAACAACAAGTCTTAGCTTTGAGGGAGAATCACTGATTCACACAGTACATTCCCCTGGGATTCTTTATTCTTACCCAACCCACCATTATCCTCTCCTCTTTCTTTCGCTCAACCTCCACTCCTATTTCCCTCCAATGCTGTGTGTCAGTTAGTGAAGCAGTAAGTGAGCAGGTGGGCTCCTCCTGTTCCTAGATGCCACCCAGTGTCAGAGAGCCTGACCCAGGCTGAGGAGATAGCAGGTTCAGCAGCCTGTGGTTCTGGTCCTCAGGCCCCGAGGTCTGGTGCCGTCTGGAGTGACTCTGGTGCTACGCTGCTCTGCATGCTGTTACCAACTGGTTCACGGCCGCTGGTGGGGTTGTGGTCACGCCCCAGCTACCCATGGGTGCCCCTGTTACTCCTGGGTGCCCATACTTATGCTGATTCAAATATCTGACATTATAAAAACCTAATTTAAATAAAGGAAACAAATTGATTATTACTTTTGCCACAATGTTCTGTTCTTTACCACAATTTAGGGCTGTTGATGATGTGGATAATGTGTACATTTATGTGATTTATTTTGTTTGCCATGAATGGGCCATGATAAAAAAAATCTGACATTTCCATTGCCGAAGTCCAAAATGATAGTGGCAGGATTTCATTAAATGTATTGACTGATAAAGATTAAAATGTTTAATTTCATACACCTTAAAGGGTTTAGGGCTTAAAAAATTATCATAGAAATTGTTTTAGCTACTTGTATTCATCTATTGCACTAAAGAAAGTCAGCAACGCTAAAATAGATTGATAATGTATTACTCCAGATGGTGCCAGAACCAGACCAGAACATAAAGTGTAGTTTACACAACTTGCCTCATTTCACTGCAGCTCTTCCTAGCCGTTCCCTCTTAGCATCTAGCATTTGACCAGTGAGCCATGTTTCATTCCATCCATGTCCAGCACAAATCAGTTTCCGCTCTCACGCTGACAGAGGTCATTTTTACTGTCAAGCAAAACTATTTACTCATTTGACAACTTACCTTCACCCACTAATACAGTGTGAAAGGTCGGAGTTAACTTTAACCAGCTCTATTGTAATTGTACTCTTAAAATGGGTGTGCACTGGGAAGGCTTTGATAGAAAAAAGCTGTTCGTTTTAATTGAAGGGTGATTTTTAAAAAGCATTAATCTTGAACAACTTGCAGAGCTTGGGCGTAGGACTTTAACTCTGAGTCATTGTGCTAAAATCAGGTGTTCTGTATTTTCCTTTTGTCAATGTTTTCTCTTTATGATGACCTATTCTGTATTACTGAAACTTAATTTTAAATGGTAGACATTGGAGAATAAAAACATCTGTATTGATTGTTCCGCTATTTAATGAATGTCTCTTACTCCCTATATGTCTTATACAACTTTCCCCATGTCATCTTCCTTGACCCCAACACATCTGTTTACTTTTCGCTTGTGTTAGTGGGCTACATTTTGTATGCTTTTCTCTGTGTTACTTTCATCTCTCTTCCATCCCTTTTTGCCTTCTAGTCCCATCCTCCTATCACCTAATTACCTGTGGGACAAGGTTGGATAAAGTGTCTCATGAATGTTCTCTTGAGTTGTGGTTTGTCATTGTTTGAATTTTTACAGTTGTGGCTCATTTAGATTTTTCATTTTGTTTGAATGTGTTTTGTCGCTTTGTCATGTCATCATTGTGTCTGTTAATTTGACTGGCTAAAACATGTTGAGCGACTGTTGGTCCCTCAGGTTATTTTATTTTCTAGGACACCTGTGTGTGAAATAAATGATGCAAATAACAACAGTATATTTGAGCTGAGTTTTTTGTTGTCGAACATGATTACAGTAGTAATATGTCTGGTCTGTGAACTGTGCATAACATTGTTCAAGAAAATACAGACAGCCGAAGTGTGCATGTGTGCAAGTCACTTCTGCAGACCATAGAGAATGAAAGAGTTCTCTAGTGGCCAAAAGGCAGTTTTAGCATGGGCAGAGCCATTGAGGGCTTCCACCATGCTTCTGCCATTTTTAAAGTAGTCAAAGTAGTCAACTGGGTGGGGATTCCTATGGGTGGTAGCCTCAATGGCGCTGCCCATGCGGTCACAGACGCTATAATAGCACAGATATAAAGATGAGTCCTCTATCTATGGTGCAAACACTGAAATATGTATGAATTTGGGTTGTTTTAAGGGGTAGTTACCACGCTAAACGAACAGAACAAGATATATGACATACCACCGTAGCGCTCTGCTGAATCCAGGTGGAGCAGCTTCTGCTCCTACTACGCTCATCGGAGCATCCTCTATCACTGTGTGCTCCTCTATCAACCACAGTCTCTCTTCCTCTATGGTTAATACCACGTCTGAGGTTTGGATACGTTTGTCACTTGTCTTGAGTGTTTCCGTCTCTTTGTCTATATTAACCTGAAGTCTCTCAATCTCTCTGAACATCTCCACTTTTCGCATCTCAAGCTCCTGGTCCTTGTCCTGAAGTTTCCTCCTACCTCTGTCCCACTCTCTTTGCAGAGTTTGGCTGCCTCTCTCCAACTCCGCCGTCATCTTCTTTAACTCTTCATTCTCTCTTTGTATTCTTGTTCTCTGTACCAACTCATGTCTCTGAATCACCACTAGTCTTTCCTCTAGATGTTCTTTAATTTCATGAAACCTGCACTTAATCTCCTCAATCTCCTCACTTTCCGTCCGAGCCTCTTGACCGATTTTCTCCAAATGATCTCTCTTTGGAAGCCTTTCATCTGTTGTCAGATCCAGCTCAACTTACATTGTCATTGTCTTCTGTCTGAGGTTGTTCTCAGTTTCTTCTCTAAGTTGAGTGGAATCTTTGATCTGTCTCTGCATCTCAGTCTCCACCAGTTCTTTTTTGTCTGTCTGTATCTCAGCTCTGATCTGTTGCAGCTCCTTCTTATCTCTCTATTTCCACCATGTTGTTTTCTAGCTCCTTTCTCTGTTTGTCTATTTCAGCCATCAGTAGCGCAAGGTCATCCTTTGCATCCTCCTTTTTCAACTGTCCTACTTCCTCAATTTATTCTCTCTCCAGTTTGTGTTGCAGAATTCACCTGCTCCAGACCTTTGTGCGCTTTTTCCATCTTCTGAATGCATTTGTGTCACAGCATTCGTATATAGCTCCTTTCATTTTAATGATTGGTTTATATCTTTTTCTGTTTCTTGCTTTATCAGTTCTCTCTCCTTCTTTAACTGTTGCCTCAAGATTTCCATTTCCTCCTCATGCTGGTTTAGTAGTAACTGTCTTTGCTCCAACCTATACTTCACCCTATCTGTCACATTCTTGTTTTTATTAATGTCTTCCATGTCTTTTTGTATGTCAGCTCTCATTTGTTCTAGATCATCTCTCTCCTTCTTGATTGAGTCCATAATTTCTTCCTCTGTCTGAAGTGTCTCAACCTTGCTTTGTTCGGGTTCATCCTTTATTTTTTCTGTCTGTTGAATCTGAGGCGAAGACAACTTCATCCCTCTGTTTCTGAATGCTATCTTCTCTTTCCTCCAGCTGAGGCACCTCCATCATTGCTGCACCCTTTCTTTTGTCAATTTCATCCTTCAGTCTTTCTATTTCAGCTGTCATGTGTTCCAACTCATCCATCTCAGACCTTGTCTTTTCCAGTTCATCTCTCTCTCTTTCCATCAAGTCCATATTGTTCCTCATCTCTTGTCTCTGTCTTTCCATCTCAATCTTAAATTGTTCAAGAGTGTCCTTCTCATCCTTTAAGACCGCTGGGAATTGTTACATTTCACCTCTTTGCTGTGTAATCTCAGACTTCATTTGTTGCAGGCCAACTTTCTCCCTTTCAGTTATGGCCTTGTTTGAGTCAGTTTCTTTTCTCTCACTTTGCATCTCCACATTCATCTGCTCTAAAGCAGCCTTATTTTGCTATATCTCCCCAATGGTTCTCACATTGTCCTCCTTTTGCTTTTGTATTTGGATAGCCATTTCCTCTGCACCCTCTTTCTCCATGGTCTCCTCCACAATGTTCTCTAGATCTTCCAACAGTCTCTAGGACTCTATGGTAACCCGTTAGAGCCCATCCTTCTCCCTCTCTGTCTTTGTCTCTTGTATGCCCTTAGTTTCCTCCTTTCTTTCAGTTTTTTACAGGTCTTTTTGCAGGTCATCCATCACCTGAGCTTGCTTTTCTCTCTTCTCCATAGTGGATTCTCTTACATCTATCATTGTTGTCTCAGGCTTACTTTGCTCAAACTCCTCAAACCTACAGTTTGTAATCTCTCCTCTGTCAACTGTTTCATCTTTTCAAGAGTAGCCATGTCCGCCTTTGCTACCTTTGTTACCAACGTAATTTGTTTGTATGTACAGATAACAAGTTCAAACAGGTGCCATTAATACAGGTAACGAGTGGAGGACAGAGGAGCCTCTTAAAGAAGAAGTTACAGGTCTGTGAGAGACAGAAATCTTGCTTGTTTGTAGGTGACCAAATACTTATTTTCCACCATAATTTGCAAATAAATTCATAAAAAATCCTACAATGTGATTTTCTGGATTTCTTTTACTCATTTTGTCTGTCATTGTTGACGTGTACCTATGATGAAAATTACAGGCCTCTCTCATCTTTTTAAGTGGGAGAACTTGCACAATTGGTGGCTGACTAAATACTTTTTTTCCCCACTGTATCTGGTTGTTCTTGTAGATTAACAGCAGCGCTCTGACTTTCTGTTATTTTGTTTTTCTGCTTTTGTATTTCAGATTGCAAGTACGCTAGTTCTTTCCCTCTGACATTTAGTTCTTTCATTTGACTTTCAATTTCTTCCCTCTGTCACAGTAGGTCTGCACTGACCTGCTCCATTCTCTGTCTCCTCCACTCTATCTCTGCCATCATGATCTTCTCGTCCTCTTTCTGTTGAATAATCACATTTTCCAGTTCCTTCTTTTCTCTCTGTATTTCAGTCTTTATCTTTTCCAACTCACTCTCCTGTTGTATTAACTCTTCCATTCTACTTTCAGTTTTGTCTTTTTGTTTCTGTGTCCAATACTTCAAAAGGTATTGTTACTCCATTTCCACCATTGTGATTTCTTTTCGGAGTCCATGTCCTTCTTCCATTTCTTGTGATATTTCCATCTCCACTAGAGATGTCTGTGTTGAAGCATTAGTCAGGTGTTTTATTTTGGTTTCAGCTTCATCCCTCTCACTCTTGTCAGCAGATTTGACTACCTAATCATCTTCTCTCTGTGTATCTATGTCTGCCATACTTTCAATTTCTTCATTTTGCTGTTGGGCAGCCATTTCTTCTACATCCACCTTATCCCATTTTGTCTTCATCATTCTGTCTAGATTTTCTGATCTCCTCTGTAAATCAGTCTTGATTCTTCCTTCTCTCTTTCAGTCTCAATCTTTAATTTTTTTATTTTACCTTTATTTAACTAGGCAAGTCAGTTAAGAAGTCTGTTCACCCATGACTGCATGGCCAGGCACGACTCCAACACCATCATTAAGTTTGCAGACGACACAACAGTGGTAGGCCTGATCACCGACAACGATGAGACAGCCTATAGGGAGGAGGTCAGAGATCTGGCCGTGTGGTGCCAGGACAACAACCTCTCCCTCAACGTGACCAAGACAAAGGAGATGATTGTGGACTCCAGGAAAAAAAAGAGGACTGAGCACGCCCCCATTCTCATCAACATCATGCCCTTGGGTTATCCAGTTCTTGTATTTATTTTTTCATCTTCATCTTAATTTGTTCCAAGTCATTTTTCTCCTTTGATATCATGTCCTTCAGTTTGTCTGTTTCTTGTTTCTCTGTCTTTATCTCAGCTCTCATCATTTACAGTTCAGCCTTCTTTGTCTTGGTTTCCTCAACAACATGTTACATTTCCTAATTTTTCTTTTGCATTTGCAAAGCCCTGTCTATTTCAGACTTCATGGGTTCCAGCTCATCCCTCTCTATCATTGCCAGCCTGTTGGTGTGTTCCAGGTCCTCTTTCTCTTTATGTATGTCATGACCTTCAACTTCTTCCATGTCTCTTTTGAGCTTATCCTCCAAGCTGTTTTCCATGGGCTCTGTCTGTGTTTGTACTTGCCTTTATCACATTTTCATTATTAAGCTCATCTTCTGCACATGCTTCCTGACTCCCAGCGTATTACGTTACAGAATTCTACCTCGCAAAATGGAAGCAGCAGAGGATAAAACCATCTTCCAGACGGTCAAGGAACAGGGTCATCTACTCCACCAACACCGCGACCAGCTGGCGCAACTGGGTATGGCCATGGAGGAGGTCCTCCACGTTCTCCACCGCCTTGACACCACCAGCGAGGCTCTCCTTACCCCTATCAGAGGGCCTCCTACCACGGGTCGTCACAGTGAGCCAGTCCCCCAGCCTACCCAGCCGTCCGCCCAGGTCAGCGATGCCCGACTGTCCCTTCCGAAGAAGTATGACGGTACTCCATCGAAATGTAGTGGCTTCCTACTCCAGTGATCCCTCTAGTTCGCCTATCAGATGGGAGCCCCCACCACCGAGAGGTCCAAGGTTACATTTACATTTTAGTAATTTAACAGACGCTCTTATCCAGAGCGACTTACAGTTAGTGAGTGCATACATTATACACTGCTCAAAAAAATAAAGGGAACACTAAAATATCACATCCTAGATCTGAATGAATGAAATAATCTTATTAAATACTTTTTTCTTTACATAGTTGAATGTGCTGACAACAAAATCACACAAAAATGATCAATGGAAATCAAATGTATAAACCCATGGAGGTCTGGATTTGGCGTCACCCTCAAAATGAAAGTGGAAAACCACACAACAGGCTGATCCAACTTTGATGTCATGTCCTTAAAACAAGTCAAAATGAGGCTCAGTAGTGTGTGTGGCCTCCATGTGCCTGTATGACCTCCCTACAACGCCTGGGCATGCTCCTGATGAGGTGGCGGATGGTCTCCTGAGGGATCTCCTCCCAGACCTTGACTAAAGCATCCGCCAACTCCTGGACAGTCTGTGGTGCAATGTGGCGTTGGTGGATGGAGCGAGACATGATGTCCCAGATGTGCTCAATTGGATTCAGGTCTGGGGAACGGGCGGGCCAGTCCACAGCATCAATGCCTTCCTCTTGCAGGAACTGCTGACACACTCCAGCCACATGAGGTCTAGCATTGTCTTGCATTAGGAGGAACCCAGGGCCAACCGCACCAGCATATGGTCTCACAAGGGGTCTGAGGATCTCATCTCGGTACCTAATGGCAGTCAGGCTACCTCTGGCGAGCACATGGAGGGCTGTGCGGCCCCCCAAAGAAATGCCACCCCACACCATGACTGACCCACCGCCAAACCGGTCATGCTGGAGGATGTTGCAGGCAGCAGAACGTTCTCCACGGCGTCTCCAGACTCTGTCACGTCTGTCACATGTGCTCAGTGTGAACCTGCTTTCATATGTGAAGAGCACAGGGCGCCAGTGGCGAATTTGCCAATCTTGGTGTTCTCTGGCAAATGCCAAATGTCCTGCACGGTGTTGGGCTGTAAGCACAACCCCCACCTGTGGACGTCGGGCCCTCATACCACCCTCATGGAGTCTGTTTCTGACCGTTTGAGCAGACACATGCACATTTGTGGCCTGCTGGAGGTCATTTTGCAGGGCTCTGGCAGTCCTCCTCCTGCTCCTCCTTGCACAAAGGCGGAGGTAGCAGTCCTGCTGCTGGGTCGTTGCCCTCCTACGGCCTCCTCCACGTCTCCTGATGTACTGGCCTGTCTCCTGGTAGCGCCTCCATGCTCTGGACACTACGCTGACAGACACAGCAAACCTTCTTGCCACAGCTCGCATTGATGTGCCATCCTGGATGAGCTGCACTACCTGAGCCACTTGTGTGGGTTGTAGACTCTGTCTCGTGCTACCGCTAGAGTGAAAGCACCGCCAGCATTCAAAAGTGACCAAAACATCAGCCAGGAAGCATAGGAACTGAGAAGTGGTCTGTGGTCACCACTTGCAAAACCAGTCCTTTATTGGGGGTGTCTTGCTAATTGCCTATCATTTCCACCTGTTGTCTATTCCATTTGCACAACAGCATGTGCAATTTATTGTCAATCAGTGTTGCTTCCTAAGTGGACAGTTTGATTTCACAGAAGTGTGATTGACTTGGAGTTACATTGTGTTGTTTAAGTGTTCCCTTTATTTTTTTGAGCAGTGTATATATATATTTTTTCATACTGGCCCCCCGTGGGAACCCACAACCCTGGCATTGCAAGCGCCATGCTCTACCAACTGAGCTACATGGGGCCCCGTAATTTTCCTGTTGACCGTAGCCGGCGTTGGAATGGGCTACAGCCGACTGGGAGAGAGGAGAGGAGGAGCTGGGTTCCTATGAGAGGTTCATGGCTCTGTTCAGGGTGGTCTTCGACCATCCTCCAGAGGGCGGACAGGTAGGTGAGCAACTTCTCCAACTCCAGCAGGGTGCCCAGACCGCTGCGGAGTACGCCCTCACCTTTCGGACTGTGGCAGCCTCCAGCGGATGGAATGAGCCGGCGCTCCGCACTCTATTCTGGAGAGGACTGCGCGAAGAGGTCCAGACGGAGTTGGCGTGTCGGGATGACAACCTATCCTTGGACGCACTCAACACGATGGCCATCCGTCTGGATAACCTTCTTTGGCCATCCGTCTGGATAACCTTCCACCTCGCCACTTGCCTCCCTCCTTTGGCTGTCCTGAGGCAGAGTCTGAACCCATGGAGGTAGGGGCCACACCTCAGGTGTTGTCTCTACAGCTCTATTGGACTCCGGTGCTGCAGGGAATTTCATCGACCAGGCCTTTGCCTCCTCCCTGAACATAACTTCGTACCCGCTCTCCTCTCCTTTTCCGGTCCAAACCCTGGATAAGCGACCATTGGGATCTGGCACAATTA